CACTCGGAAGGGTTCCCCTCATCAAACTCCAACATTAGTGGTACATCTGCTTGTTCCCAAACTTCACACTCTTCTTGATTACTGGAGTTCGTGGGACCCACTTCCAAACCTTCTTCACCGGCTTTGGCTTCTGCGGTTGCTCTTGGAAAACTTTTGTTGAAGTAGTTTCAACAGCTTTACTTCCCTTAGGAAATATGTGCTCAACAAAATCCATCACTAGATGTCCTTTGGCGGTCTTCCTAAGAATGACCTTGTTTCCTCCTACCAAACACCTCCCAGTCGCACAACCCAAGAAGGCATTGAGATAGCTTAACTCCTTCATGCCAAGTAGGACAGGAACACGTTGACTAGGTAGAGCAAAAACTGCAATCTTCACATCATCGACCGCAATGGTAACCCTATAGAGAGCTTGACCCCAAGCACCGGAGCCGTAACCGAAGTATGGCCTCACAGCATCGCTCACTTCAAACTTCACGTTCGGACGTGCTGCCGCAATTGCGGCGCACAACTTCTCTACGGCTTCCTGGCCTCCGGCCGAAGCGGTTGCTCCGGTGTCCACTAAGGACTCAGAAGCGCTCAGCGGATTAGCCCCCTCAGCGGCTGCAAGAACATAGTCGGACTCGTCGATGGTCAGCAAGCGGTAGTTGGTGCCGCCCTTCTTGCGCTTGCCACCTTTGTGGCCCTTGCCTTTGTCCCAGGAAGGCACGTTCCACTTGCCCTTGTTCTTGCCTCCGCCTTTAGCGAAGTGGGCTTCTTCGAATTAGTTCACTTTGCCCTTGGGGTGGCCTCCCTTAGGATGGCCGCCGCGCTTGCCCTTGGCCATGTAGGTGGAGGTAGGCTTGAAGGGTCTTTGGGCCACACCTCCGCCCCAGCCACGGTCTTTAACCGCAGCGGCCACAGCACGGCGTGCTTCCTGAAGGTTGCGGTCGTTCTCCGCCATCATGGCTTCAATCTCCTGTCTTTCCTTTTCTATCTCTTGTTGCTCTTCTTGAAGTTGCGCCAAAGCGGCGTCTGGCTCACTGTCGCCCTCTTCATCCGCGTCTTCTGGGACCCATTCACCGTCTTGACTTCCATACAGCGCCCACTGGTCCTCAGACCACCAAGCTCCATCGAAGTCCTGGTAATAGACGGCGCCGTCGTCGTCGTACCAAGCCTCTGGGTCCACTTCCTCTGCCCAGTAGGCAGCGCGGCCTCCATGTCCAAAATTGAAGGGTCGGCTCCCCTTGGAGCCACGGTCTTCGTACATGGAGAGGAGGGCTTGCTTGATCTCATGGTAGCCCAGCTTGTTGCGGGTGGCTGCCTTGATGATCCGGCGCTCATCCTCCGTAGAGGTGCTCATCTCAAGTATCATCCATCCACGGATCACGTCCAAGGCGGCCAGCGGCATGAGGCCTTTCTCTATGAGACGTTGCAGCAAGTCCTTGCCCTTGGAAGTCTTGCTGCTACTTGAGTGGCTCCCTCTGGAGCTACTCCTTCGATCCCTGGACGATCGGGAAAAAGGTCTCCCTTGAGAGCTCTCAGAGGTCGGCGTTCGGCCTCCTTCTTCGTCACCTTCGGCGTCTTCCTGGGCATCTTCTTCAGCATCGGTCCCTTCAACAGGGCCAAAGTAGAGTGACTTCCCTTCAGGGATGCCACAGAAAGCCTTCAGCTCGTCCACGTCCACCCTCTCGCTCCCTAAGGAGCCTCTGGAGAGCTCGAAGCATCTCATCGTGGACACGGTCTTCCCGAACCAGAAACGCTGGTATAACCTCTTGAGGCTTCTTGCGTAGGCGCCGGTAGTAACCACCGATCTTGTTGCCAGCGTCCAGAAGCGGCTGCCGATTCATCGGGCTGGCTTCCAGGAACTTCACCAGCTTCTCGACGCCATCCTCGCTGTTGAACTCCTCAGGGTCCAACTTGTAAAGCAAAGCAACCAAGGTTGGATGCTCGCTCTGAAGGGCACGGCGCACAATGCGCGATGCCAACAGAGCTCGCTCATCTTTCTTGGTGCTGTTCAGCGCCCAGCGAATCTCCGTCACAAAGTGGCTGAAGGTTTCCGGCTTTCCGTCCCAGGTCTGAGGTCGCCGTTGTCGCCATAGCGACCGCTTTGCCCCTGCATGGCTCCCTTAGGATACCACTGGGCCCACAAAGGTCCCTGACCGAACCGGCCGAGCTCACAGAGAGCTCCGCTACCAATTCAGCTGCAAAACCAAGAACGCACTAAAGAAACATGGCTCACTATTTTTTGGCACCCGCAGTCTGCCAAGGCTCAAAGGGGCCCCCTAGGTTTGAACCATAGGGTCGCGAGGTGACACACTAAGCTGCGCAACTACAGCCTCCTATAGAGGCTCAAAACTAAGCTACAGCTGCAATTTTGAAATCATTTTGGGCCGTCATTTGGAATCTAATGTCAAAGATCCACTTTTGGGTGGTTTCCAGCTGCAAAAAGGCGGATGGCCCGGCCCATTGGAGAGCCAAACATCCACTTTTTTTAGGTGGTTTCCACCTGCAAAAACTCCAAAAAGCGGACGGTCCGGTTACTGGAGAGCCAAACATCCACCTTTTGTTTGTTTCCAGCTTCAAAAACTCTAAAAAGCATTGAGGAGCCAAAAAAACATCCACTTTTCAAGGGGCTTCCAGCTGCAAAAACCTCAAGAAAGTGGCTCTCCCAAACACCCACCTCTCGGTGTTTCCAGCTGCAAAAACCCCAAAAGGCAGATGCCCCGGCCCACTGGGGAGCCAAACATCCCTTTTTTAGGTGGTTTCCAGCTGCAAAAAATCGAAAAGACAGACGGCCCGGTTCTTGGGATGTTTGGACATCTTTTTTTGAGTTTTGACAGCTGGAGACCACCAAAAAGTGGATGTTTGGCTCCTCATTGGGCCGAGGTACGTTTTTTTGGAATTTGTCCGTTGGAAACCACCAGAAAGTGGACGTTTGGCTTCTTAAGTGGCTGGGGCATCCAAGTTTTTCCAGCTGCAAACCACCAAAAACAAAAAGTGGATGTTTGGCTTTCCAATGGGCCGAGGCATGCGCTTTTTTGGAGCGCAGCTGTAGACACCGACAAAAGTGGATGTTTGGGACATCCGCTTTTTTGAGGTTTTTACAGCTGCAAGCCCGTAAAAAGTGGATGTTTTTTGGCTCCCCAATGCTGTTTAGAGTTTTTGCAGCTGGAAACAACCAAAAAACGAAGAATTGTTGCAGCCAACAAAAATGGATGCGGCTCCCCCGGCCGGGGCATCCGCTGCATGGAATTTTTGCAGCTGGAAATCCCCCCAAAAGTTGTGCACCTTCTCGAATGGCCTGATCCGTTTTTGCGAGTTTTCCGCCTGAAGCCCCCCAAAAGTGGTGGTTTGGCTCCCCAGGCCAGGGCACATCCTAAGAGTGACCCCTTCAAATCCGATTTGGATTAGGTCAAGCCCGGAGAGCCTTCGCGGGGTGCACACAGCGTTTGGGGCTACTGCACACACACAAGCATGATCAACATCTGCGCTTATGTCCGCGCAGGTGTGAGCATAATTGAGAGCACGACGTTGCTTCCTAGAAACCCAGGCCACGGCCACTGTGGGGCAGACAGGCTGAAGCACAGCAGGACCCGGCCTCATACCACGTTTTGTGGCAAGCAAAACCCACTACGCATCAGGACAGCAGCTGCAGCACCTGCTGCAGCTGCGGCATGCCCAGAAGGAGTTACCAAATGGTGCTGTTCAAGGAGATGAGATGTGATGTGGCGCGTTTCTCAAACATAAGGACCTAGCAAGGCCGCGGATAAGAGATGTGGGGATATCCCCGTGCTGAAGGTAGATCCTACCCGCCCAGCAAGACCCACTACCTCCACAGGACTTGAGGTGTGCGTAGCTTTATGTGGCTCTGAAACCATTGCTGATCGACAGGTCTGGAACCTCTCTGGACAGCTGCTGCGGCTGATGTCACAACTGTGGGGCGTGGAAGGGTGGAAGGAAATCCCCTCGAACAAGGCACCGCCTCATTCTGAAATAGTTGCATGAAGACCTCGGTCGCATCTGTCAACACCCCTTTAGCTGCCATACTCAACTCTTCTCGCATGTGCAGAAATACCTACGAGTATGGGTCCCAGCACGAAGGCACTCCTCCCGGGATTCCTTTGCGGACTTTGGTGCTGCATTGAATCTGACACGTTGTTGGGCTCTCCATGGCACACGTCAGACGCAATTGATGTCAACTCCACACCCAAAAACTTGAGCCAAAATGGTTTGAGCCGAAATCCCTGAAGCCAAGGAAAAAATGCCATCCAGTCATGTGTGTCTCAGCTTGTTTTCGAATCTGCTGCCTTAGCGGCGCGGGAATTGAGGAACGAGTCCCGCCCACGGCTTCCCCATGGCGCAACTATCTTCCACCCCCGAAGCACCCAGCCCAAAACAACAATTGCCTTGACTGCAGTATCTGCCCTCTGGCTCTTCTCATCGAGATGTCATGCATGCGTGCTGCGACCAGCAAGTGTTGCGCTCGTGCCTTTCAGGAAGCGCAACTGCGAAGGCTCCTGAAACAGATCGTCGTTTTGAAAAAGTACTTGGTTCGCCAGTCGTACTTCAGCGCGCCTAGAACCGCGCTGGACGAGGCAAGCAACCTGTCCAGCAAGCGAAGAGCAGATGAAATCTACAAAAAACGCATTGAAGGAATCTTTGAAAGACGCCATGCTTGAATGTTGGCCTTTCCAGTCCATCTGCTGCGTTGGCCATTCGCTTCGCAGTAGGTGTTCTTTCACAATGGCTGCGTCACGTCGCTGTCTGCACGATGGTAACGGGTGGTATGACAGAAAGTATCTTGCAGACCTACAGCACGGGTAAAATCAGTGCCTGCATTAAATGGCCTGCTGCCAGTGCCCAAGGTGGATGCCACAATGGCTTCAAGATTTTGCACAAGCCTGTATGTGATAAAGAGCCAAAGGCAGCTGGCCCACATTGGCGCGTGGTCAGTCTTCTTGCCCCGCATTATGAGATTCTGCAGAGATTGGCAAACGAACTCCTCATTCTGGGCAGGGCACTTGAGGCCCTTCTCCGACCATGACGGCGGGAATCCACGTAACACAAGGCTTCCCCGAACCTGAGACATTTCGACCCTCCACTACTATGCAGCAGCCGCCCTAGTTGCTGCAACTTCAAGCTCTCTTGACTGGCCTCGGAAGCATGGGTCTCATGCACGCGGGCCTTGTCCAAGCACTGCTCCATGCTTGATGCTACGAACTGGCAACCTGGACCCAAACGAGAGCTTCAGCCAGCAGCCGCCAGCATTCTTCTGCCTGGTCGTCTGGCAGTATCGAAGGTGAGAGGTACCGAACAAAAACAGAAAAGACTAGGTATCTGTTGCAAATTCAGCGGTCCATTCAGCACAGTTGATCAGCCCTGATGAACATCTTGCACTGAGGAGATGTGATGGCATGGCCACCGGTTTCTGGTTTCTGTGCTCCAGAGCCAGAACGCGCTCCTCATATTGCTATGTGCAGCGAACGTCCAGTTGGCTGGCAGGGACGCCTACCGCTTTTGAGATGAAAAGTTGTCGGAAGTTGTTCACATGTGCTTGGCTGGGAAAACACAGCTTCCTGACTGATAGCTAGTCCTATCTAAGGCCTATGACCCCGAGATACCCCGAGAGCCCAGTGCCTCCACCCTTGCTGTTCCACGTGCAGTTTCCGATGTCCTTGGCACATCCTTCTTTTGCAGGACCCCATCCTCCTACTGATGCCAACTTTCCGGCTTTGATCTTAAAGGCAGTTATTGAGATGCCTCGCAACCTATCAGTCACAAAGCTCTGCTCTCCATGTCTAGAGCAGGACAATACGACAGAATCATGCCCAATGCAAAACCTCACCCTGAAAGCTAGACCATCGTATCAGCCTGCAGCACACTCGCCGAGGCGTAAGACTGAAAACTATGGGGCAACCATGTGTTGCGAGGATACACCAACAAATGTTCGAGCAGGGTAGAGCAATACTGATTTTCCCATGGAAATCTGGAACCGTGAGCATCTCCTGCCTTACCTATCCTTTCCAAGCTGGCAGAAGTTTCTTCTCAGTGGTCAAGCACTTTCAGCGCTGGCTTTGTTCTTAATAATAAAATTGGCAGGAGAGGTACAGGCTTGGAAAAGGAATCGACACCAACACTTTTTTAGTCTCCTCGAAATGTTGACTTCACTTTTCAAATTGAGGGAGTACAAGTGTCCACAGCAAAGCGATGTCAAAGGACACCTGTACTCCGAAAGTCACAGCCAGAGCAAATCAAAGTTACATGTGCGCGTTGCCATCAGACAAGCTGAAAGCTAGGAATCATGTGGGAGTTTGCACATCTCTGCGTGCGAGACGGTCAATCTGCAGCCCCAAAGCTTGCCAACTGCAACAGCGGTCACACACATAGTCCCACGAATTGCAGCGGCAACTTCCATAAATTCCACGACATAATTACTGCATTCTTACTGCACCCCATCCAATGGGCCAAAGATGCATACAGGAAAATCGCTGTCCAAGCCTGTGTTGGCTCTGCGCATCGAGCCGTGAAAAGAACGTGCTGGCTTCCGTGGCTTCCGGGCCTGCAAAGCCGTGATATGCCGCAAGGCGATTTCGCTCTAGCTATTGTGCATTTTGCATGCATTGCCTGTTGCCTTGACAGCACAGCGCAACCCCATCGACGGTGGGAATCAGACGGCTTATGACACAGCACGTAAGCGGCGCACATGTTTCCGAGTACCGGGTCAAGCTCCAGGTACAAAGAGTTGACGCCAGCTGCCTGACAGGCTTTGACAACACGCTCATTCTGTGCCCCAGATTCGTGCAGTGGCCTTGCAGATGTCATGCAACCTTCCTCCTTCTGCTCCCTGCAGATGCCGCAGCACATTGAGGCCATAGGCCCCACGCGTGCCTCAGCAAGATGGAAGATTGTTTTGACCTGTTGCGGGTTTTTGTCACCGCGTGCCTCGCAAAGCACGTTCAGATTCCGACCAAGAAGCCTGCCAATTCAATGCAACTTGGGCGAAGCAACGAGGCGTGCCTTCAAACGCTTACAGTGTGCATCTGGTGCCTTCGACACTCCATCTGCTCCTGATATCCGGATAGCCTGAAACAATCAAGGGGTGTTCATGTTTTGCATCGTGTTGCTCTGCTGCCCTCTTGGAGCCTCAAGCGCCTTGCGGGCCTCTGAGTGACTGTTGAAGCGGACGTAGGCCTCTTCTCATATCACTTGCAGTCCGGTGTTTTCAAGTCTGGTGCCAAGTCGCCTTGCCATTAGGCCGCTGCTGAGCATCACGAAGCAAAAGAACCTGCGACATCTGTTCTTGAAAAACGCGCAGTGGCGGCGTGACACTGCAACAACTTCACACATGCCTCATCGATGTCGCCAAAGTTTCCCAAGAGAAACCTTACACCGTCCTGCACAGTGTCGGTATCAGTGTTCTTCATGTTCCAATTTGCGCTTCCCACGCCTCTGTGCTCGCCTTTGACGGCAAGTGGGTAACAAAGATCTCCCGGTCGTCCAACTTGGGCTCAACCTGGCGCTCGCGAGCCAGAGAGCCAGAAGAGAGAGTCTTCCAATTCTCCACATGCGTCGCCAAAGCCTCCCGCGGCAAGGAAGGCATTGCAAGCTCGTCGATATACGAAAAAAACCTCCCAATCAAAAACCTCCCAATCTGCTGAGCTGGTGACCAACAGATCAATGGCGTAACGCAATGAGTAATGTGTGTCGTCACATCAGAGCACTCAGCTGGCGACGACATCAGAGGCTTCTTCGGTTCAGGCTCCTCCTAAAAATGCCGTTGCGAAGGCAGAAGCACGCCCTACCAAAGCCGACCAACCCTTTGGCAGAGCCAGCTGGCCTGCATTACGCAGCGCAGTTGGGCCTCATTGGCGTTGCGCCACTGTAACGCAAATTCACAGCAGCGGAGTCACAGCACAAGTGCATACCGACAATATGTTACGGCGAAATCAGTGTTGAAATCTCGTTATGCGGACAACGGCTGAGATCCAGAAAACAATGTTAACGGCAGCTTGGCTTACAGCTTTCAAGTAAATATGCATCGCGCAAAACTGAGTAGTCAGTGGCGTCAACGGCTGCAAACAATGAGATGGATGCGGCCAGCACAAGCACTGAACGAATCCTGTGCTATGGCAGCGCAGTTGCAACTCCAAAGAAGCTCTTAGATCATTAAACTGCCTTAACTTAACGATAGAGGCAGCCAAGATATTGGATCTGTTTTCCAGATGCTGAAAGAAGACGTTGAACCCTACACAAAATGCCTAGGGCACCTGAGCATAAACCAAATGTATTGTGTTTTTTGACGAAAACATGGGGAAGCGTTTTTCAGTGGTGGTCTTCGAGTAGGATGACGTGGGGTCTTCAAGAGGTTGTAATTATCGTGATGCGTTGATGGATAATATTGTGACGCAGTAGGATGACGTGGGGTCTTCAAGAGGTTGTAATTATCGTGATGCGTTGATGGATAATATTGTGACGCATGGCGTTATCGTTGATGCATGGATGGATGTCGTGATGGCGTCATAGAAAGGATGTCAAAGGGATGGCAGAAGGATGGCATGAGGCATCGCAGGGGTGAATGTTCTGCATGGTCTCTGAGTAGGATGGTGTGAGGTACCAGATGGACGGTCTATTCGTCTCATGGAAGGTCGTCGGGACGGTCTCCCTTACAAGTTTTGATATGCTTTAAATTCACAACATGGGATAGGGCTGGCGGGAACCCTTGCACCTACAGCCCCCTTGGCAGATTGCCTCGCATGACTTTCTGCAAGCTTGGCAGAAGACCACCTTCCTCCACACCTCAAGCCGTTGTTCGAGATTCCAAGGGGTATTGGGAGGCTTGTGCGTGACATGTTGCGGTAGATGTCCCCTTGCGCGTTGATCGTAGCCGATTTTCATCGCGACATATCGCGACGTCTTGAGCAAGCAGGCCTATTGCATTGCAGGCTGACAAGCGCAGCCAGCAGTCCCTTACTGCGGTTCGGTTTCGACCCGGTCCTTTAGCAGGTTCTAGTGAATTGTTGTTTTTCAAGGATGAAGGCTGCGCTGAGTTTGCCGACAAGAAACATGAATTGATGAGGCTTGCTTTACACCTTGCCACGTACGCATAGCGCACATCCAGCCTCGTGAAAGCTGTGACTATTTTGCATTTGCATTGTCGTGTGTTCCGGGCTCTTTTCAACTTTTTATCGTTGTTTCTAGCAACTAGTTGGTGCCAGCTGAAAGTAGACAGCCATGGATCTGGTTATAGGGTGGATTCAGACCCTCAATAACATCAAGCTTGGTGTCGTGCCCCGGGCACCAAGGAATTGAAAAGACTTGTTTGCGCACAGCGGCAAGGGAGGACTGAATATTCCGATCCCAACTGTTGATCGAAGAGTGTGCAAGGTAGCAGATGCAGTAGCATTTCTAGGCACGCCGCGGTCTAAAACACATTTTTCTGCCTAGCTTGGTGCCAGTTTTTCAGTGGCATGATGATGAAGACGCCTGCGCACTTTGCAGCCTCCATTTCCAATGAAATGATTGCAACGTCCCCATCCCTATGAGCATAGGAAGTGCTAGGAAGGCCTGGGAAGCTTCTTCAAGGGAGCTCATACAGTAAAGCCAGGGTTCGAGAGGTGATGCAAGTGCCAGTGCAGAAGCGGTGAAGTTCCACACTTTAGTTTTAACTAAGCTGTCTGATATGAGGCTCTGGCTCCCATGAGTGACAGGCCATTGAGAGCGGTCAAGGCTGAGGACCTCCAGGCGGTTAACGGTCTGATTCACTTGAAGCTCCACAAGTCTCTGAGCCAATCACGCAGCAGCGGACGTATCGAAGTCAATGAGTACTCCTGCGCAGCTCTGTTTTGCGCGTTCGAATCTCTGCGTACACTTGAAGCCGAGCGTAGACCGGTAGATGGGCTCTGCCCACTGTGGCAGCTACTAGTATGAAACCAGAAAATTGAAAGGCTCCATCACGGAAAAGTTCCGCTGCGGAGCGGGCCGTTGAGGGCGCGATGCGCTGCTGCAGGCCCGCTCACCACAAATGATTCTGCATGTCAAGCTGAGGAAGCCCTTCTGATCCCAGAGCAAGTCGCTTGGAAAGGTGATCCTGAACCTGCAAACCACGATGAAGCCGAATTGTTACTTCCCAGAGGAAGAACCAACAATTCAATAAAACGGATGCTGACTCCCGCAGTATAGCAGCTTTTGCATTATGAGAACATAGAAAACAACAGAAGCGGAGAGAGCACATGAGAGCGAGCGCACATCCAAACTACTGATACAGAAACAATATGCAAGAGTAAATTGTATAAAGGGAAGAGATAACAAGGTTTGGAGCAAATGAGAAACGGGAAAGTTGAAAAGGGTGTATCCAACGCACATATTGGGCCACACCACATCCAGGAAACAGGACCGGTAATTACATAAGTGTCAAATGAAACATGCAGCAGTGGGACTCACACCAAATCACGCCGGAAAGCTCTGCACAGCCATTGAGGCAAAAAGAATTGAAAAGGCAATGCTCAGCGTGAGCATGCAGAATCTCATCTTGGTAACGTGTCTAACAATTGGGAAACAGAAACCAAAAGAAAAAGAAATGAATTGAAGGCAGCGAGGAAATATCCACAGCACTGGGCAAAGAAAAAAGTTGAAGCAAAGCTGTGATTACGTTAACGAGTCGGTTAGGTCATATTTGCTCTCTGAACTATCCCAGGCGTAACACAGCAACTGAAAGCTTCAGCATTTCCAAGGACAAGCGCCAGCGTACCCGACATGCACTCAGGATTGTAAAGCAGGTGCTAGCAAGAAAGCAGAATATGTTTCTTTTTCGCCGGGGTCCGACTCACACAATACCGAATGGACGCTTATCGGGTAATAAGGCAATCTGGCACACTGGGAAAACGGACAGCGGGACGATGTCAGGATCCTTGTTCCCAGAACAGTCTGCGCTCAAATCTGCTACTGTACGTCCGGCTTGAGAACGTTTTGTGCGAGATGCCGGGCATGCCTCATGCCTCTTGAGGATTTTCGTGTGAATATACCGAGGGCACTGAGTGGGAATTGAGGTTGCCGACGGTGGATGTTGAGACGTAATTGGGGTGCTTCCACATATGCACAGTCTAAGCAAAGTATCCTGCAACCTCGAAGACCTGGAGAGGTGGTGCACATGCAGTGAACGGAACAAACACTTCTGAGCCTGTCTCCCTCCCGCTCGGACCTTTCTGACCACTCGCCATTCCTTCCACTCGGGTTCTCTGCACAGTGCCATAGGGCCTCAGTGCAAATGTAGAATCGTGCTCCGTTTCCCCACAGGGGACGTGGTAGCAGAGAACGCCGCGATGCGAGAAGCTCGACATCCTCCCATGCCCATGAAACTTGCCGAGTTGTGAATCATGGCGGACATGGCAGTGTGGAAGCTTGCCTTTTCCGCCCAGTTATCGGGCAAGGGCCATAAGAAGATCCCATTTGCCTTCACCCTGGCAATGCAGACCATGCTTGCACAATCTAAGAGTCGTTCGGTTTGGCTAAGCTCGGCACCTCCTTTTCCGAGCCATCTTGGGAGCCATTCCTGTTTACATTCTGGTCTGCGGCGCATGAAATCAAATTACTGCATGAACTTCCACCAGCACCACTACCATCAGAACTTGTGGAGCTTGCAGCACAAAGAAGAAGCGTAGTCCAAAAACAAGAAAAAACAAGCCACACAAATAGAGATGGCATGCTAGAAGCTCAGAGCTTTTTTTTGCTGTACTGTGAGGTGTTCGCTGTTAGCTGTGGGCCTGCTTCGGAAATCAGAATCCGAGGAGTCCAATGCAAATGCCACGCGAGCCTGAATCATCTGCAATTCGAAGGCTGAAGCACTCACTCTCCTTCGGCGCCTGCAGCAAGAGCAGTGCAGAAAGACTGTCGGCGCCATGCTGAAGCAGTAAAGCCTCGTTGTTAGCCGTCTGCTTCTCTGAAGCAGACCGCATGTCAAACCCATGCAGCGTCTGCACCTGCAAGGTGCAAGGGAGAAGTCTGCGTCTCTTCTCCCTGAAGTTTGAAACTCTTTCTGTTTCTGTGCTTCGCTTTCTTGGTCCCTTGCGGCAGCACGGGCGTCGCTGGCATTTTGAAAGCGAGCCAAGGCCTTCCAAAAGATAAAAGTCTTTAGAAAAATCCTTTTCGCAGCTCCTTTTGCTGCCTGAAAGCCGTTCGGCCCTTGCGATACGACCTGACACAGGCAAAACGAGACAACATAACAAAAAAGAACAAAAAAGCCATTGGACTCAACCACGATGCCCAGGACGTTGCCGGTGGTCCTTCTAATGGTCCTAGGCGCTGGAGCAGACTTTGCACCTCAGCCCGGTACACATTCAGCGCTGTTCCTCAATCGTCGAGAGTACAGGAAATAACCACTGACCTTCTGCGGCAGAACCTCAAGAGCTGCGGGTGCGACCTTGGGATCTCGCGACAGAGAGGGCACCACAGCAAAACAGATAGCTGTGCCTGAGCCACAGACCCAAGAAGCTGGGAAGTTCTGAGCAAGTACCGCCTGCAAATTGGCCCATGGCCCATGGACTGCTCACACATAGCGTTATGCCACACGAAAGCCCCAACACTCCTTGCCCATGGGCCACAAGAATTGACACTCCCATAGGTTTCTTTGACGTGGAATTCTCTCAATAAAGCCATTGAGAGCGTGTGATCCTACCCCCATGGACCGTGAAGGCACCCTTTAGCCCGAGCACCTTTCCGCCAGTGCTGTTTGCCTCAGGAAAAAATCCAGCCGCAAGGCGTGACAGTTTGATCGCACAGATTCCGCAAGGTCTTCCAGACCACGCTTGCTGGCAACAGTTTCATGGGTTTGGTTTGGGAGAGAGACCCGATATGGGACAATCCTAGCCTCAAGCACCTCAATGTAAGATGATCAATGAAGGACTGGATTGCAATGCTTTACACATCAGCTTTTGCCAAGGCACCACTGACATGGCTGAGCTGGCGACATGTGCAAAGCAGAAGCTGAATATCTAAAATATCCATTTCCCAATCGTGGCACCGCGATTCTGCGACAATGGGCTTCAGACACCCCACTGCCAAGTCTGTCAGGGTCTAGTCTGGATGCTGGATTCTGATAGCGAAGGCCGTGTTCTGGACTGTCGCCTACATTTTGAAGTGGGCTGTGGCTGTTGAAGCTCAGTCCTTGGTCTAAGGCGACAGGATTTTGAGCATGGACGCCAATATTCCGATTGAGCAAAAAGCTGCGGAGCTCTGCGACATGGTGCCAGATCTGTGCTGAGGCAGAAGGCCGAAGGCACATATCATATAACCCAACGTGCGCTGAGGTCTGGCTGGATGGGGGATAATTAGAACAAACTGTCGTTGTCATCCCTTCCTGGGAAACTTCCAGACTACGTTGACAACTAGCCTACTTTGTTGCAGAGCATGGTCTGCAGCAAGCGCCGGGCCGTTTGAAGCACGCTACATTTTAGCCAAGCTTTCAGTGGCAGTGTCAAGGAGTACCAGGCCCTGCACAGTCTCTGGCACTGACAGTCCTGCAGCAGACACGTTGTGCTTCAGACATAAACGGCCTTCTGGCGACCTAGGCTGCCATCCGCATTTGATCACCCCTGCTTCCTGGCAGCGCTTGGGATCTCTTAGGGTTGCTCGTTATCCGGCGGCCTGTGCTTTTCAGTACGAAGGCTAGCTTCCCCAGCGAGACCCTACTTTGCCCACTTTGTCCCCACGGACCTGACAGTCTCCCCTGCAATCTTGGTTCCCAGCCTTTCCTTCAGGTCCTGTCATCAACTACCGGTTCAATTAGATACCGATCTCAAGACGTGCTCTCCCCATTTTTGCCAACGCAACCCCGCTTAGCAGGATCCCGAAACCTCAACACCGCCCATTGTTGCCAGGGTACATACTGGAAACCATCAGACCTGAACAAGCCCGCGAGCATGCATCAAACGGAACTATTTAGCACACTGAGGCCTGCCCTGAATCTGATCACTATACTGATAACCTAATGCTTCGATGACATCTGTCAACTGGCCACATTGGGATATTTGAACTGAGGGTTGCGCTAGGTGCAGGCAGCGCAGGTAGCATGCAGGTCAGGCGATGTCGGGTGCAAGGATGGGAAGGCGGATCCGAAGCGTCGGTTCAGGCCAACTCCACTCTGGCAATGGCCAGCACTTTTTGCAACACTCTGCAAATATCCTTAAAGCCGAGCTCATAATCAGGCTGACAGTTTGCTGCTCTTTCTGGTTCACACTTGTCATCATGTTTTGGGACCCGTTGCAGCGGCTGTAAAACTCTGATGAAACCCCACGCGGATGGGCTTTAAACACCATGATACTGGCAGAAAATCTGCATCAAACTCCGATCAACCCAAACAAAGTTATCATAGATTCTGAAAGCTCCAGGATTTTCTCTCCTCACTTCCAAACAGCAGCCCCTCAGATTGAATCCACGGCCACAAGAAATGCAGCACTGGGACCAGATCAGGCTCATGCAGTGAGAGACTTTGTTGAAGGCCCCGCCCTGTCTTTGCGTTAAGAACTGCGATCACCACTGTCGCTCCAGTGTCCAAAAAACGGAGATGAAGCCCAAAGGGACCAGGATGGCGAGATCTGGCCTTCCAGTTAACTTGAGATGCCGCTCTAGCCATCGCCTGTGCATCCAACCAAGTCACACATCGAAGAGGGGCCCCGCTGTCAGTTCCCAAAATGCACGATTGGGCCGTTAAACGGTAAAACTTGTATTTGGGGTAGAAACAGTTCAGGCCGCTAATAGTCCAGCCCGCCATGGTGATGTGATCTCCTTATTGAAAGAGGTGATTGATGTACTCCGCCAGTTCATCATCCAAAGACCGCCAAGCTTCTGGGGAGCTTCTTTCAAACCTTCAAACCGCTACTGCCTCAGTGTATGTTCGTCCTGTTTTGGCCACGATGTCCAGGAAACTAAGGTGGTACCTACGATTCGAAGCGCCTCGACGCATGATCAGAGAAGTTCCACTTGGAAATGGTCCGAAGAGTGATGGGCATCAGGGCAGACGACAAAGACACAGCGGCAGTGCGGCGGCAAAGGCGGTTTAGCCTTTTCGGATGATGAACGCGGGTCAGAAATCACTTATAGGGCGAGAAAACACAAATCACTTGGCACGAGGAAACAGAAATCACTTGCGACGAGTGCGAAAGGGTTCTTATGGTTCCGGGCGTAGGTTGTTTAGGGTTAAGGGGTGCATGGGATTTATTAGGGCTTAGAGTTGTTTGGGTTTAGAGGTTTAGTATCACTTGTGACTCCTCCAGGGTAAAATAGTTTTAGGCTTTGGGGCTTTAAGAGTTTTGAGGGTTTAAGTTTTTAAGCTTTAGGGGTTAGGAGTCTTTGGGATTAGGGTCTATCAGGTTCAGGGTTTTTAGGGTTGAGGGTAGTACGGGTTTAGTTGGGGGTGTTTTTGGGGGTTTGGGATCTTTAGGATTTTAAATTGGGGGGTCTCTAGGGGAACAGGGTCTTTAGGGTTTAGGCGCGGAAGGGTGATTAAGGTCAAGAATTGGGGGTCTTTAAGGTTTGGAGCTTTAAGATTTTTACGGTTCAGGGGTCAGGGTTTTGGAGGTTTGCGGTTTGTAGGTGGTTTTTGGGTCCAAGGGACTCCGCTGTGGGCTTCAAATTGAAAACCTGGGTCCTCCCTGATTGTTTCATATCATTTTACATACGTGATTTGATATCTTTGTCCTTCCATCTGGAAAGCCCTTGGTGTCATGTACTTCAAGGCAGAACCACTCGCCAACAAATGCATTGCAAGCTTAATAAGCCTTCACACCTAATTCGGCCAAGTGACACCAAAACAATCACTCAGGGCGAGATGAGCAAAAGAAATCAAATTCAGGAAGCATAGGGCGAGATTGGGAGGCGGGTCCAAGAGCCGTTTGGCTGAGCGCTGCCACGTTTTCTTTTTTTGGTCCGATGAACCAGAACAAATCTCATCCTAAGTGTTTCTTCTTTCTCTTCCTCAGCGAGCTCCCACCCATGAACGCCCCTTGATCAAGACATAGAAGCTCACCAAGGAATCGACAATGGAAAAGGAATGATGCCCACGCTGATTGGGTCACGGGCACGACGACGCAGCTCAGTCAGGAAAGCCAAGACGTCCAGAATCTTAACGTGCTACTTCCACTTGAAAGCGAGGATTTCTCGCCAATGCCATCGGAACGCAGGATAAGGACCGGGGCGGCTCCCGAGAATGTCCTCCCCCGTCAGTGAGCCTAATGTCCCTGTGTGGTAGGCGTGGCGAAGGAGCCAGCAGAGATGAGTTTGCTCCTGTCCCGGCCCCATGGTCTCAAGAAATCTGGAAGTTTGGGAAATTGCCCACATCCCTGCAGACTCTCGTTGAAGGCCGCACGTGGCTCCCTAAGCTGTGAGTACAGGATTGACCTGAGGCTTGCCCCATGCCTGACAAGGGCCGCGGTTTTGTGGGCGACCTCGCAAAGGTCAAACAGAAGTGCCGAGGATATTCATGTTCTGTGGCCCCATAGAGTCAATTTGACCCATCGCCTCATGAGTCTCAAAGTTTGGGATTCCATCATGACCTTCAGTGGGGCTAATTATGCAGAGCCGTATGGAGAATTTCGCTAGTGTGAACGATTTTGGTCCAGCGTTTGCACGGCCCTCCGAAGCACCACATCGAAGATGTTGACCACAACCACAACCATCCTCCTTCGTAAAGGGAAGCTACCTCAGGAAGCCTCCAAAGAAAGGACCCAACTGGATGTTCGAGAGAAGGTCCCCTGATAGACCGTTTTGCCATCGCGTTGCCTTGCCAGACATCCACCTGGTCTGCTTTCCGGAGATCATTGAGACCGGCTGGGTAGGAATGGCTGCGCAAGACTACTGGTCCTCGAGAAGCATTACCCTGTCCATCAAACAATTTAGTGTGTGTTAACCACGAATTTTGGGACAGCACAGTATTTTACAATCCCAGTGAGCAAAAGTGCTTTAGTCCCAAGAATTTGGTCTGGAACCAAAAGAAAAGCAGAAAAAACGCTTGAAAAAACGTTCCAGAGACCTACAGCCGCCAGGAGCTTGAAGATTCATGGAACATTGGTCGTTTTAGGCATTTTTTGAATCCAGTACTTGTTTGGTTTCAGACCAAAACTTTGGAACAATACAGCTCTTTTGCAGCCCCAGAGAGCAAAAGTGCTGCATTGCCCCTTTTGCAATCCCAGAGAGCAAAAGTGCTGTACTGAGCCAAATATTTACCAGCTCCGAAGCCAGAAATTCAGGATTTCAGGAATTTCGTATTAATTTTAATGACATTTGATTAAGGATTTTACATGGACCAACACCAGCTCCCCAACCCAAGCATACAGAAGTTGCTTCACTTTACCTAAAATCCTCAAACAAACAGCGTTTCTGGGTTGCCCATGTTAAAATTGACAAAGAGTTTGGTAGTTTTCATGTTTCAGTTGAAGCAATAGAGAATTGCGGCTATCAGAATTTGGTTTTAACAAATTGGCCGAGGAAAGAATCAAAATTCAGTAAACAGCACATAGACATCCTCTTGAAGATGCAGAAACACTGGTAGTTACAGTGTTCGCTCCACATGGAAGATCTTAGACAGAAGAACAAATGAGCTGATCATGATAAAGAACAACACTGGGTGTAGATCACGGGGAGGGGTGACCATATATATATATATACATATGATCATATATATATATATACACCGTACGTACATAGCCCGTACTGTGGACGATTCACACTACGGGCCGTATGCAGTATCTCTACTAATCCGAGAATATGCACGATTTTAATTTTCCCCCGCCAGTCAAAAACAGTGCCAAACCTGTAGAGGGGCAATGTTCAAAGTTAAGCCGTGGGGAAGGTTTGAGGCGGCTGGACTGAGCCGTGGCCGAATCAACGCTGCAGGCGTATCCAAACACAGGCGTGCGGACGCGATATAAGACATGTGAAACTCTGCCTTCCGCAAACAACATGCATGGCTCTTGCTTCTGCCAGCTTCATCCATTGATTGAATTGTATCAACAGTTGTCGTTCGTGAAGTAGAATGCGTGAGTCCCAGCCCTGGATGACATGCAGACCGAGGCTGGGAGAACTACAGCAAAACAGCGCAACTCTTGCAAACCATGTAGTCCTGCTGCATCAACAGGAGCAGCTCCTCAGACATCACAACAGAAACGTCTTGAGCTTCGCCCGAAGCGATGGCAACTGAGGATTCGACTTCTTGGGATCCGAGGACACAGACGAAGGATCAAGCTGCACTGTTGGCTGCGTCGCCATGTCCACGTTGGGTGCCTCATGACAAACAACAGCTCGATGCTTCACGACTGCCAAGTGTGCGTGCCTCATCCTGTCCTGGCAGAGCCTGTGCCAATTGCCGGAAGAGGCCCTTGATGTTGGTACCCATCTGGCAGAGAGTATGCAATTCAATTGGCACACTTGGCGGCGCGGACCGAGAAAGGATGCGGATACAAACCCGTCCACATGAATGCGGGGGTACCTGGGACGTCTAGCCGGGACAGTTCTGTCGATCGACCAATCGGCTATTTCAACATCATGCTGCTGACAATATGCACCAATCCTTCAGGTCCAACATTCACATACATGACACAGAGCGAACGGCAGCGGTGAATCAAGATTGTGTCTGACAGCGCAACACCGCTGGCAGGCTTCTTGCAGAACCCATTGTAGCAAGCAGCACACGCTGCACGCGGACTTCCCGATAGGAACGGTCTCCAACGTCCGGAGCAGCATGAGTGTCCTTGATTCCCTGCTCAAAGAGAAGGCATCTGTGCCATGGCTGTGGGGCTTTGTTGTGAGTTACCAACAAGCAATGTCCAAGCAGCCAGAAGCTGATGCCAGCACGTTTCTGAAGAGATTGACGGCTTGTGGCAAATGGCTCGCATTGAATAGCTTCGGCATTTCTTCTCTGGATACTGGATCATGACAGCTGAGGTGAGAGCGTGCTCGGAAGCGACATATTCGAATGATGACCAGTAAACCGGTTTGGCCCATCGTCTTCAAGTTTGTATTTCCCAGTTTGAACTGGAGTGGGGACCGATCTAGCATTTTGGAGGCAAAGGCTCTTGCTAGGAGCAGTTTGAAACCCCAGAGGACAGCCTGCACTGATAATCTCTCCATGGGAAAATGGGGAGGCAGCCGAGCAGTTGAGCGGATCTGAGATGATCTGAGCATCTGAGAATTTGGAGAACCTTGCCTTGGCACTGGTCTCAATGAACATGACGCCGTTCTCCTTTGATACATCTCGCGAAACATATTATCTCTTTCAGTCCGCATCTGACTTCGTGATGGCTCCTTGGCCTTTTCCTCCCCCTCTTCGATGGAGACTTGCCGTCGGTCAGCCAGATCAGTCCTGATTTCACTCATGGAGCAGCTCTGTGGCAGAACGGCTTCTGATTCAGTAAGGCCCAGTCTTGTTGCCAACAAGTATGATGACAACATCGTTCCCTCTCTCGCTTCGAACATCCTGAATGCAGGGAGAAGTTCTGCCCACGTGTCCAAAAGCTCAGGAGAAGCCGAACACATGCCCATCACTTACAAACAGCAAGATGGCTTGCAAAACACTCTAACACTCTTGATTGCAGCATCGTTGAGAGCATGCGTCCTCAATCCACTTCGATGTGTTTAGGAAAGAAGCGCGATTTGTGATATCGTATACCTGAGTTGCAGTGCTGTCCACCGAGCCATCATCAGCCAAAACACGGCCCTGGTGCACTGAGATCAGCACGACAATAGCTCCAGAAGAATCACGAATGTAGCTGGGAATCAAGCTGCGGAAGCGCTCCTTGAAACAAAATGGTCGAAGCACAAAGGAGTGAACAGGGCACGAAAGTTGAAAGTGGGCAAGGGCTCTGCCTGGCCCGCGGTGTCCCAGAGCTGCAGTCGGACTGTTCGATCCTACATGCGCGTGACTCAGCCGTCGGTCAGCAAAAAAACAGCTGAAGGCAGCCGACATCCCGTGTGGCCTCAAGATACATTGTCTTGCTCAAAAAATCGATGCCAATAGTTGCCTGGCCAAGTCAACAAGACTACCTTTAAGAAAAGCACTAGGGAAGCAAGACAAGCACCCACGAGACAGGGCCGTGTGTCAACGTAAAGGGGAGTGCTGAGGCAATATGATATGACAAGAAGACAAGAAGCACTAGAGTAAGCCAGAAAAGGGTCAGAAAACGAATGATGAGCTGTGTCAACCCTGTGTCAATTTCTTGAAAAGCGAGAACGCGAGGTGTCACCTACCAATGCACGCCGCCAGTGGTCTAACTTGGGCAGTTGCTATGAGGTACAGGCATGCGGTGCTGGTCAGGTCAGGAGGCTGATCATGGCTGAACCCTGCACATTTCGCAGAATCAAGAGAAGCCTTGAACCACAGCAAAAGGGCTGTTGACAAGAACAACAGCGAGCTTCCAGGTGCCAATTTGCAAAGGCATGCCGATACAAACAGCAAGGCCAACGCACGAATAGGGCTCAAGGACAGCTGCACCACCTCCTGGATAAGACCAGCCTGGTAGTTGTTATCGAACGTATCGTACATGAAACGAGTGATGACCTGAAGACTCCGCGCTAATTCTCACCCACTCAAGCATCACAAGCACAGGCATCATGTCTGCGATGCACTCCCGATGAAGTTGGAGCTGGGAGAGGAAATGAGAGGTCGAGAGATGGCAGGATCAAGGCCAGCTGCTGAGGCCCGTACGGATGTCTTTCCAACCGCTTGCTCGCCCAGGAAGACAAGCTTATACTGCACGCACATAGGATGTGACGCCAGCCAAGCATCAAGATTCAGAAAAACGAAATCAATGTCATCAGCATGCACAAATCGCTCACATCCACGGGGTTTGCAAGCCAACTTATTGAGGTTCTCCCTTGCCTGCTACTCGGCCCGGTGGGGATGAGCGGCTGCACCAGCACATTATCCACCACAACTTCCCCTCTCCCCTCTCCCCTCCCCACCACCACCACCTCTGCACCCCGCCCCAACACTGGCCTTCGGGAATCCTGTGCCTCCGAAGGAAATCCTCTAAGTCTTGGCAATTGCAACAATTCAGGAACCAGATGGTGCCTTCTGTCTGTCGCCAACACATATCCTAAACAACAGCAAGACAAACCCCTAAGCGAACCCTTCAGGAGAAAGGGAGGGGGAGCAGTCTGGGCCCAGCATTTCTCCTGGATCCCTTGAATCTTGAAGTTTCCCAAAAGTCATTCTATTCTGGACAGTGTGTTCTCCAGCATGAAAGGAAGAAAAATTCAGAAATTTCAACAAGAGCTCTCGGCCAGTAGCAAGAAGCTTTCAAGCCACAAGCCGAAGGCCCAAGAATCCATAAGTTTCCCACGACCCCTGACAGCACTGGGTACTAAATCAAAGTCTCCTTCTCTTCTCTGTCCTATCAGTGCTACTACAATCACCGACCATCGCTGCCGCCGCCACCACCATCACCAACACGACCACAACAGCCACTACTAACTACTAATTACTCATTACTACCAGTGCTCCTCACTACGCTTGCGTCGACAAGGTTCATCCACTACAGGACCGGTACCAGTACTGCCACAAACTACTGCTGCTACTACTGCCAATCCTACACAAGAAGTACGTACTGCTATCAGTGCTACTCAGACTCCTGACTTTCCTTGTGCTGCTGAAAGATGCTGCTAGCGATCCCAGCACTACCAACGCTATCACTACAAAAACTTCTACATCTGCTTCGATTTGAGTTCTGTGTATAATCTGTCACACAACGACTATCAGCATGACCGCGCCCTCCACCAAGACCAAAGAACACCGCCTCGGCTCCACGCACAGCACATTCATGCTTGTATTGCTACTTGGTATCCTAGTGTTGGTTATATTCGTCTGACCGTGCTCGTTACTGCTACAAATCCTCCTGTTCGTTTCGACCTCCAGACGATCAGGCCGCCCAGGCTCTGCCTTATTCCAACACACACAATTTTTGTCATAGCGCTCTACCTTTTGTCCGAGAAGGGCAATGAACGAGCAAGTACCTTAAAATGGCACCAGCCTTTCAAGGTTGCACATCGTCCTTTGGCCCTACTCCCATGGGTCATGAAAGGCTCCTGCAGATCCCCAAAAAGCCTCTGCAAGGCCCCCAAACTCTCACACTTAGAAGAAACGAGTATGGCTGCAGCAGCTCTCCTTTCGGTAGAGATGTGATTTGTTGAGTCCACAAAACTCACAATGGATTGCCGCCATGCCTTGTTCAATCCTGTGACGCGGGCCATTCCTGCTTCTGCCATGATCAAAAACAGGGGCTCGAGAGTCTTCAGGTGCTAGTCAATCATTTGCTGCACTGCAATGTGCAACACTTCTGATAAACAGTTGCGGCTGCCATTTGAAACAAGGACTGTTGCAGGAGTCCCACAAAGAGCAAAGGTAGCAAACACTCTAAATCGCTTCAAATGCGCCAGGTATGTTCAAGAATAGGATGCAAAAACACATAGACGCTGGTTCAGATTGTGCTCTCATCAGCTGATTGAGCCACCAGTGCAGCGGCGTCTAGCTCAAGGCTGCGGCCTGAAAAAGGGTCGGCAAGATTGCAGGCAGCTTGGTGGCTTAGCTTTGCTTACGACTTCTGAGGCTGGCATACCGTTCTTGGCAACTGTGCCTAAGACATTGCACTAATGAAAGGAGAATGGATGAGCCGTTAACTGTCCACATGGCCGTTGGCATCTTAGCCTTGACGTGTTCTCTCGCCCGCATCCTGTCTATCACTTTAGTTGCGGCCATGTCATTGTCTAGCAATCAAAGTCCAGACAATCAAGCGACCTCATGCTTCTTAACTAGCCTACATTATTAGCTGTGGCAACTGCATGATGACTGCGCTCAGCTATCCTGCATCACATGTTTGCTGCCATGCCTGAACGGAGGATGCTGCCAGACATATGCGATTGCCATCTAGTCTGGAAAGGGAAGTGCAAAGGTCTCTGACCGAGCACCAAACATCACTGCATCGACAAGCCTAGGAGGCTGTCGTTTGCATTTCATCCATCACAGGAATTCTGCTTGCCGGGATCTTCTTTCAGCCTGGCCAGGAGGAGGGGAAGGAACTTGGTCTGAACAAACCCCGGCTAAATGGGTTCTTTTTACAGGCGCAAACTTGCCTTCTCTGTTCGGGCAACGTGACTGGCACGGCCAAAAACAGCCTTGAAAGCATGCGTTCGTGTAGGGGTGTGCCCTGCCTTTATCCCAACACTGCCCTCACTAGGGCTGCAAATGCTGCTAAGAGCAGGGCTCCAAGCAGCGCGCATTCCATGGACTGCTCTTTGCCTCGACAGAGAAACGAAAATCTGACAGGTGGGCTGTGCAGAAAATTGGCACGTCCTTCCGCAAGTTCTTCTGTTTCTTTTCCTCAAAGATCGATACAAAATGGAAGCTGAGAGGCCAAGGAAGTTGCGCTGTCCTCCGGTCGATTCTTCTGTTTCTTTACCTGCAAGCCCAGCCAAGCACATCTCAGCAGAGACTTCTCTTTCATGTAACATGCCTGCCAGTCCTTCCGCAGACTCTTCTGGGGTCAGCTCTTTGGTTGCTTCAGCTTGCTTCGTCAACTCTTTGGTTGCTTCGGCCTGTCCTTCTGCACCATCCGTTCCAGCAGCTGCTTCCCTCTCCGTTTTGGTGTCCTGCATGTGCTGTGAACACACCAGGGCCGCAACAAGATTATCTCAAACTTGTGTGGGTTCGGCCATGCCTCCTCAGGGCTGCAGGAGTCAAGCTGCGACTTGTATAGCTGCAGCCTCCACTCTTCACATTGAACACTGTCGCCATCTGCCACCAAGGCCTTTACTTGCTGGCAAGGAGCCGATCCAGAAATCCCTGGTCTTCGAATCCACGGTAGCAATTCAGCTGCTGGCATTCGGCTGAGTCCTGCTAGATGCTGGCCCGTGCAAATGCGTCTGGATGACCAACGAATACGTCTAGAAGAAAAACGAGCATGATAGGACGGGATGTGCCATGATGTGTCTTTGGCGTGGCTGAATGGTAAGGTGAGCAGCCAAGCCCTCCTGTGTAGGGATTGCGCGTCAGAAGGAATCAAGGATTCTTTGACGCATCGACTGAGCCCCCCGAAGCAACAAGTGGCGTGAAATCATGTGACTCTAGAACCTTGCATAAGTCCTTCTTCCTGTAGCACTTCAGCTCATCGCCTCCCTCTGTCTTTCCAGAAGGAGCGAAGGATTCCTCCCGACTGTTGGGGGACGGCTATAGGCAGCGTGGTCAATACTGGCAATTTCATCTTCTACTCTGTCCTCCTCAGGCCTGCCTGCAAGCTTTGCAGCAGTATCCTGCATGTTGACCTGCGGCGGCACTGCCACTCATATCATCTAGCGAAAGCATCTGCAAAGGAGAAAGAGTGCAGCACTTGGCTGCAGACACAGTCAGCTGCAAGGACTTGGAAACGGCGGACGCGCATGAGACCCAGTTGCGTCTCGGCCTGAGGGAGACTGCAGCGGCTTAAGGCTGTTGCCCGGCTGTTGCTCACAGATGCTCTCTTCAAGAAGCTGGCTTTAGTCAGGGATGGCTCTTCTCCTGGTGCTTGAGTGCCGTCACAAACGAACGGCCCTCCGTCTTGAACCTGACAGGTGGTGGGTGGGAAGACCAAGTCTTCCTTCGTTCAATTCCTTCCCAGCCTTGCTTCGGTATTGTGCATCAATTGCTGCCTGGGCGAAACTCCACGAAGACTCGCTAGGAGAGTCGCAAAGTTCGGTGCCACGCCCGAAGCTTGTCAAGCGCACCCTGAATCTTTGGAGCCTCTTCCTCATGCACTGCACATGCACTGCAAGCAGACTTAGGAAGTACGGATTAGTGAGACTTCGATGAGTTTGCGAGCGCTTTACAATTGCAATGTGTCCACTTTAAAAAGCGAACTGCTTGCGATACCGTAGCTCCATGCCAATTAACTTAGGCCCTTAGGGCCTCTAGGAGGAGAACCCATGAGATCAAACTGTGGAGCCTTGAAGTTCATTTAGGATTATACACCTAAAGCATGTTGAGTATAGACATTTGGGAGGCAGTCTCTTAGTCAAAGCATCCACTTGCCAAGAGATTCTCCATGCACTGGCATGCGAACATGTGCAGAAGAGTCCTTGTACTTCAGGAGCCACTCTTCTCTATCGAACTCTTTCACAACACCAAGGCCGGAATGCGGATTCTCAATGTCGAACCTCACTTACGACTGTGGAGCGTAAGTGCGGCACATAAAGGTGCTAGGGTCAGGACGGAGCACCATCTTTTGTTCGCAGAAAATAATGTGGAATGACCTTAGGAGGCTCCAAGCTATGCAAGCTCGCTCAAGCACGAACACACCATGGATTCACCTCACCAGCTGACTGAAGCGCTTCCTCCCTGGGACGACAAACTGAAGGAATCTGGGATTGATGTTTGAGAGCGCACTCAATTTACCAGAGGCTATACAAGTCTGTCTGGTGTGTGTGTGTGTGTGCATGACTTCTGAATTGACCTGTAATGGGAAGGGGAATCAACTACATGTAACAAAAGTGTTCACTCTGGTTTGGTTGAACTGAGGTCGGTAAGAAATTGGCTGGACAGAAGCTTTGTCAATCGACAAACTGCACAAATGCACTACATGTAGAATCTCCGGCGCGCGGCTGCCCCGACATGTCGAGTCGAATACACATCGATGGCAATCCGGCAGCAAGTATCGCCGACGGACAGGGATACAGGCTACACTGCTGCATCCTCCCTAGCACTGGGCTCATGTGAAGGTGCCTCTGCTGCCTTGCTACAAGTCAAGGTAGTGATTGCACTTGTGCCCGCCAACATTGTCCGACAAAGACATGTTGCATGCGAGATACCGGAGAAGGGGGCAGAAAGCAGCTGCCAACCGCAAAACTGTTGATGGGCAGGCCAGGCGCATCGGCTGCCATGTGGTACGAAACTTTATGTATTTTCCTATGCCACGCATCGCATGCCTGCGTGGGCCTCTTTGCGAACATGTTTTGCCTGATGCATCGTGCGCGCAGAGATGCACATGGCCGAACCCCAAATGAATTCTGTGAGTGAAAGCTCGGATTCAACGGTTATGTGGATGTAAAAGCTGCGTCAAATAAATGATCGGCTCGAGAAACTCCTCCAAAGTGGAAATGTGACGAGACATCTGTGCGCGTGACCCGCGAGAACCTTCGCTTAGAGGCATGCCCTGATTGCCAAACCATGCGTGCAGTGCTGGGGCGTCGTGCAAAATGATAAGAAATCACGGAAAAGCATGACAATTGATGCAGATTGTGAAATAGTCTGCAAATGAGGATCATGACAAATACAAAAATATGAAGTGATGAAAAGTGATGAAGTGTGATCAAAGCTGATGAGAAATCGTGCAAAATGATGAAACCCATGAAATAATATATTGTGGAAACGACATGAATGAAAAGAGGCAGAAAATGAATGATTTTGCTTTGACATAATATTAATGGGTGCCCACCACGTTGACTGTAATCAATACTCGATGCTGAGGAAATGGGTACTGATAAGAATACAGGTTTTGCGACAGATGCTTTTGTGCTTAAATCAGCATCAAAGATAACGATAGTCAGAATGATACAAAAAGCATACCAATAATAATCCAAACCCAATTGACACTAGTAACAGCAATAAGGAGAATGAACAATTGCTGGCAATGCAAGAGAAATATCAACAGTAGTAGTACGAGTAGCAGTGTGTGTAAAATCGATGAGACAATTAACGATGTTGCCTTTCTTCCTTCTTTGTGCAGGACATTGACTGGCCCAACTTCAATAAAATGCAGGTGCAAGGTAGTTGAAGGTGCTGAGGCTTTTTTCCCCCCAATCATGCAAGCATCCTCTGAGGACTGGGCATTGATTAACTGCGGCTCGTGGCCCAGATTTGCTTTGCCGGACTCTGTTTCAAATCGCCCGATAATCTTTTCATGGCCACTTTCGAGCTCGGTGTGCCTCAGCAGTGCAGGTCGCATGGCGTCCTCCCTCACGTGAAATCACTTCAACCCACAGCTGAGCTTTCTGGCATGTTCGGAGAACCCCTCGCGATACAAATGCAGTCTCCTTCATCAGTGCACCTGCTGACAAACGTGCAGAAATCACCTGCCTTTCTACCAAACCCAAGCTTTGCTTTGCTGCTGTTCTGGGGGTGCCAAGAGGCACAGCTCATACTTACAGCTGAGATGACTGCTGGTCGTCACCAGGACCGCTTTCATATCTGTTCTCCGTCCATTCCTCAAAGCCAAAATGGGCACGCACATGCACCGAGCAGTCTTCACCCGTGCTGAGAAAAGAGCTCCCTGAAAGGGACAGCCCCACTCGTACACTGGAGCAGAGTTGGCATCCTCCGCCTAAAGTTTAGACTTCTATCCCACGTGCACAGGATTCTCTCCATTAGCTCAGTCTGACACAATTTTTTCCTTGCCCGGATCAACTGTGCCCCAGTGTCCCGTACCTCGACATGAAGCTACATGCTGAATGGATTCTGCTGGGAAGAAGAGACAGAGGCAGCTACCAAACTTTGAGACTCGAGAAACACATCTAAAACCTTCTTCACAGTGTCCATCAGCCTCATCATGGCATTAAATCTGAGAACAAGGCAGCAAGGAGTGGTGGCTGAGGCACACACACTTTGGAACACTGTGAGCAAAGGCACAACCTGTTTGGCAGAGACATCACACGAGGCATTCCTTCATCATGAAGGCATGTGGAGGCAGACAGGAGACGTGCCGCTGCAAGTTGATGCATCACCCAAGCGAATTCTGTCCATGCACCAGGAACTGAGGCCACTACTTTTGCTCCAACATGAGTGGCAGCTCGCTGTAAAAATGCAGCGGCCAGAGAGGCCACAGGCTTCTGAGAGGTAAAAGCCAGCGGCAGCTCCTGCCCGGCTGAGACCAGTTGCCAAGACAGCGCTCCGCCCAAGTGATCTGCCTGCACCTTACACAAAGTGACAGGCAGTAATTCGGCCTGGTGAGCTTAGAAGAAGCCGTAGTGAAGCAGCAGAAGTATTTCTTGTGACTGTAGCGATACCATCGGAACAAAGTAGCCACGACACGAGATACATTAGCTGGCCTCTGCTCAAGACCTGGTTGTCCTGCCTCCATTTGTCATTACTAATTACAGTAAGGGAGTGTAGACGCTCGAAGTCGAAAGAACGCCTTTTGGCACCCTCAAGGATGCTGTGGGAATTTGCTCCTCGCGAAAGGCGAGCAAAGAAGGCATGGCAAGCGTTGAAAGCCCGTTTTGGGTTCTGACTCATGCATATAGATCAACGAAAGAAAGGCTGTTGTTCAGACGTGATGTCTTTGCTTAGCACGTACCACACCTTACATCCAGGACGAATGCAGCATACGCCTCTGCCCTGTGTCACCTCAAAACTAGAGAATAGATAAAGCTTGGGTCTTTATAATGAGTCTAAGCTGAAAATTCTTGGAAGATCCACAATTGCATGCGTCTAGTGCTCTTTGACCTGGAAGAGGACCGTCGCTGCTGAGCGTCCATGGCAACACCCAGACATGCGCAGCATCCATTGCATTTTGCTTTGCTTGTTTCGCCCTGCGAAGCCAGAGCTGATTAGATGCCTCACAGCGCCGGTCGCTTCATTGGCGCCTTGCGCGCACTTTGGCAGGGGGCAAAAGATCCACCAAGCCAGATCGTTGAAAAATCGAGGGCAGGTCTGGTTGAAAACCTAGGCTTGCCACCAACTCCTTGATCTGGCTCAGCTTCATGCACTCGTTGAAGCTCTGACTTAGTCGGGAAGCTAGCTGGGTGAAACTTACATGGCCAAAGCAGCTAAGATGTCTAGTGTTTGGTGCTGTTTTCCATGTGCTTAGAGCCATCTAGCTGCGAAGCTATAAGCCTCGTATTCCGGGCTCACCCAAAGCCTTAAGCAGCAGTTGACAGCGCGCCGTCACTGACCGGCCTGCAGGTGCTCACCCGACTGTAGCCAGGGAGTGGTATGAGTGCTGTGCCAGTGACCCAGAAATATGCGACACCATGCGGAAATGGAAAGAAAACACTGCCTCTCAGTCCACACCAAGCGGAGTTATACTGTGGTCACGGGAAATTTCGGTGCAACTATAGGACTTGCGGAACGCTCTGCTCTGGCCACACTGATCCAAGCTGAAAACACAGGTCACGCGTCCACGGACGGAAGGTTTTGCATGTTGCTACAACCAAGGGCACTGGCAACGAAGCCGAAACCCAACTGAGCTCAACTAAATTTATTGACTGGGTGAGAAGAGCGGCCCACCGGGCTTGCCCCTTTTACAACCTTGCTGCTAATTACTCCCATGACAATGATCAAATCCTTCGTGAGAAGTGCACGCACTGAGAACGCAGAAACTGGGAGCCTTCGACGGGCGAGGAATGCCTCGAAATGCGCCAGGCCGAGCCAGAAACATTCGTGAAGACTTGCAAGCGTACAGTACAGTAATAAGTAACTGCACTTGGGAACTCACCTGGAGCCCTCGTGTCCAGAGGGAAGTTCCGGCTGTCAGTAGCAAGCCAATGCCTCCAAGCGTTCTCAGCTATTCGGTATCACGCTGCTGGATTCTGGAAAAGTTCAACTCTGCGAAACTGATCATCAAGGTCCGGACTCAGAAAACCACCAGCAAATGAGAGCAGGAGGTCTTTCACGTGAGTGGATTCCATCTCCTGCATGTTGCCAAATGTGCACATGCAAACAGCATTGTCATGAAGGACGCACTTGTCCACGTCCTTTGATCTCTGGAACATGACTTCATATTCTGCGGAAACCTCAGCAACTCTTGCATCAGCACTGATGGACTCCAGCTTGGAACTCCAAAAACGGAATCATGAGCACGGGGCGCTTGAGACCGTCATGCCTGGCAAAGTTGGCATTGGGACCTGCAGATGATCCAGCGCATGACATGGACTCCAATTGCGCGGGCTATCTTGAACACACCCCAGATATCCATTCTATGCCCTGTTCCCTTCAACATGTTATTCCCGTTGATCCTTGTGGTCAAACTTGCATGGTGCTTTCCGCACCCAGGTTCGTGGATTGAGCATCCCTTTCAGAGATCAAGAAACGCTATTGGGGCACCGGCATGAAGCCGAACACATCGGAACATGCTTAAACAAACTCACGGAAGCGGATCCGCTGCAGAAAGTGTAAAGCATCTTCATCGAATACCAGCGGCAGATTTTTGCTTCATTTACTTGCATTTTGCAACTGTGCAAATGCAGCCATCACCAGCTTGTTGCTTTAACCACCTGCATGCAACATGCAAACATGTGCAAACAGCATGCCTGGATGCCCTCGATTGCGGTGTCCTTCCTCTTTACTATCCTCTTGTCTTGGTTACAAAGTCCTCGCAAAGTGCCCCCCTGCAGAATTACATGCCCATCTACATCTATGGGCACACGTGCATACATCTTACCAACTCGCCAGATTGAGATGCAAGACTCTGCAAAACAGCTCAAGCTTCAGTGAAGCTATCCCTGGGACTGAGCACGTGGACGAAAGCCGCCACAAGCCATTAAATAAATCCTAATGAGACAAGCGCTAAACAAGAGCACTGCATGTCGTTGCCTGCATGGGCAGTGGAGCAGGTGGCACAATTGTTGTCGTGCTGGCCCGAGTTGTGAACTCCTGCAATTCACACGACGTCACCAGCCTAGCACTCCTGTATCCGGCTGCAAAGTGCTTTGCACTGTCAGACTTCTCTCAGGGACACGCTTTGCTCAGGCACCAGCATCTGAGCGATGAGGCTGGGTAGGAGTAGTCATGCAATCATTCAGATCAGCAAGGGGTAGGGCTCACTGCTTTTGAATTGACGCCTGATCCACACCACTTCGCTTCCAGGCACTCCTTCTTAGTACAGACCTTTGCAGCCTTCTGCAGTAGCTGGCAAAATCTGACAGAACGGCATTGGCATACGCTGATGGCATTGCGCAACATGATCTCATCGTTCGAGATGTCATGCAAAAATTGGCTGGGGCTGCTTGCTGATCATTATGCATATGGTGCTCTTTGCCACTGCGCCAACTTCTGAAAGCCTCCAGCACAACGTTTGCACCACATGGAGGCGTGTCCCAGCAGCTTTGAAATACACTTCAAAACTCTGAGAAGACACTCAAAGCCCTCCACACGACTTCTTGTCCGAATTTATTGCTGTTGGCCCCGGCTTGAAGAATCCCAGAACACGTGTGCCTGCAGTTGGGCACAGCGCCATTTTGAAACAAAGGGAACTTGAGTTGCCAAGCTGACTCTTTGATTATCTTCTTCACTGAAGCTATATTCTTTTTGTGTTCATCTGCTCTTTATGCACTTGCGTGTGTGTTTTCTGATTACCTCCCGCAGGCGGTGCTGAGGAGGTCAGGGCAAGCTCAGAAACATCACTAAGCACCGCGGTTCTGTGTAGTTACTGTGTAGTTATCAACCTTGCATCTCTCCACTGATTTTGCTGTCATCCCTTTTTGCAGACGACCCTCTCGGAAACTAACATGGAAACCCAAAAAGGGCCCTTTAAAGACGACAGTCCCTTTAAAGGGGGGCTATATGGGTTTCCATGTTAGTTTGGGGGAGTGTAATCCCCTCCCCCTAATAGTAAAAACGCCCCACCCCACCCCCCGCAAAATTAAGAATTCCAAACAATGTGATAGTATACCACAGTAGGAGTATTGAATATAAGGAGGAGGGGATTACTGCGATTCCCTCCGTGCTTACAATTTTTGAGCATGCTCTCAGACGTGGCCAGGACGTGTGTGTGTCCTCCAGAGTCGGATAGCCACCGTTCGACACGCCGGGTCCAGGTGGGACCCCGCCTCAACTAAACATCGTGACCATGGACGAAACGCTTGCTTGATGCCTTGCAAGCCTTGACCAGGAGCACCTGGACCTCCGGGCCTCAGTGGGGAGAGGAGGTCGTTTTGATACTCGTTCCAAACGCTCAGGGTCAGTTCCAGGCAAAAGCTTGGCACCGGCATCGTGTGACAAGTGCAAATATCTGCGTCGACGGCGCTTCCCCCCTAAGTTAGCCCAGGCGTCTCAAGTGAGGAGCGTAGCATGGTAACTGATCCAAGAAGACCACCTCTGCCGCAAGTCTTGCTGCATTCACCCCAATCCTGCTCTTCGCCCAGGCTCGAAAACAACTCGCATGTGAAATTGTCAGCACAAAGATACCAGATGCACTTCAGATGTTGGAGGACATCCAGGGTTCACAGTTCTGGTCCTGCCATCCAGCCCAGGTGCAATACAAGTTGCCTTGGCTTCAGAGCTGTCAGCTTACAATGCGAGCCGGCTTTTGGTTAAGAACGTAACTCAGACCATGCAACCAAGAAGCTGCTGCATGCTCGGGGACACTTGCCAACCTGGCCAGCTAGATAAAGCCATCTACGGCGGATGACGGATGTGGTGCTGAAGCCTCCCGAACGGCCATGTGGTCGCAGGGCCTGCCGCCGTTTGAAGCATATCCTGAAAGCTTTTCGAACTGCCAGCAGGGGAGTAGCAGCTGGTTGAGCACTTTCCGTGACCGTGAAACAACCATGCTCTGCCATGTGTGCGGCATGAGATGAGCAGGGCGTGTATAAGGGGGGTTTAGAGTTGGGGCGGTTTAGGCGGTTAGGGTTTAGCGTTCAGGGTTCAGGGTTAGGATTTAGAGATGTTACTCCATTCCGCCAGCCTTTGGGGACGTGTTGGAGTGTTCTTTTCTTCCTTACACCCCTAAGGGTGTGAGCAAGTGGGGGGTAGAGGAGTATGCCAGCTGCATTTGTCTAGGCAGCCGCCTAAGCCTACCCCCCCGCCATCTGCAAGGCCCCCCAGGGCCCGGCAGCTCGCGCAATTTCTGCAACAGGTTTGGATCAAGCATCTGCCAAAGGGCAAATTTAACAGGAGCAGTCCTCTTTTCAGTGTACTCAAGAATCTTTTGTGCCGCAGGCCCAAAATGTCAAGGGCTGACCGTTTGCTTTGCGTGCTTTTGGTTCTGTGGATATGTGTTCAAAATAGATATGTTAAAAGGCTTTGGGGTGATGCTTGGACCATCCTGACAACTTTTCACATTTGACTACTTCGCCCACGCACATCGAGGGCATCAACTGTCACAGACCTTCGAGGGTTCTGGCTTGCCGTCATTATGATTGCACGAGCATCTGCACTCGACATCATCCAGATGTAGCAGTTTGAATAGCAATCATAAACGCACAATCGATCGAATTCGTATGAACTGCCTCAACAGTAGTTGTGAAAATCATAAGCACAGACATACTCTTACTCGCAACAATTAGACGACCAGCAAGAGAAACAAGAAGGGTCGATCATTACATCGGTTCTTCCTGGACTAATTGTGCAGCTGGCCCCCTGCCACCTGCCTGGCGTGTAAGTCATGTAACACATCTGCAGGACGCTATCCAGATGATGCGATCCCGGATATGAACAAGAAGAACACCCTTGGATAGCAACAGTAGCCATAGCAACGACAATACAAATCTTGAAAAGCAGCAACAGCAGTGGAAATTTTCTCCGGTCGATAGCCTTGATAAGTTCGGGATGAGACGGGTCAACAGCGGCAGTCGAGAAGCGCTAAGAGCAGCAGCAGCAGCAGCAGCAGCAGCACTAGTGGCAACTGTGGTACCAGCAGCAGTGGCCGTAGCAGTAGAGCAACGGTAATATCAGAGGCACTGGTGGTGGAGGTGGTCGTGGACGCCATGGCTTCGCTAGCAAGAACCTGCTGAAGGCTCAGCCTGAGCACACCTCAAGGGTTCAACAGCTTGAGGCTGGACAGCTTAAGGACTCGACTTAAGATGGTCCGGAAGCGAGTTATTTCTCCATCACACTTGCTACCTCGCGGCAGGATCCCCAGAACTCAGGAGGTAATTCACCAGAATACACTGAGTCATGGGCACAAACCCCACTCTTGCCATTGCCCAACTTCGCAGTCTACAGGCATGTTTCCACCACTGCAGAGGTGGCGATTCTGAGCGCAGATAAGTGGTAGCAAATGCCAACGGGAAAACGTGAGATCCCTGGGCCCAGCGCGCATTCCTGAACCTCTGACAGTGCTGAAAGGCAACCACGCCCTCCGTGAGAAGCACCTCTGCACTGAGAGATAAAATCCTGAATGGGTCATGTCACAACCGGGCGCAGGACGCTGCACAACGACCCGCGTCCGTCTTTGGACTCCCCCGTCACAAACTGCTGTACACCTGGCTTAGAAATCCAGCAATGGAAAGAGAAGCTTCGCTTCTTCAATTCCCGCGCCTGCTCCAGTGAGCCCACCTGCAAATGGTCAGCGCTGCCACCCACATCCAACAGGTGGGTAACTCCAAAAGTTAGGGTCCCCTTTTGGTATCCCTAAATATCAGGTGCCATCATATAATCTATAACAAAAGGGACCCATAATTCTGCTCTTGCACGAGGTCTACCAGGGACGAACACTTGGAGCGCCGCTCACCCACAATGCAGTCCACTGGGTGGTCTTCTTGACAGCCCTGGAAAGGCTGGGAATCGGAAATCTCCTGTATTTGCTTTGCTTGACCGCGCAGGCCAAACATCTAAAGCAGCCAGGCCGGCCGCCGGGCGGTCATGGCCGAGCTTCGGATTGCAAGGACGCAGCCTGAACCGCTCGATGTGCGACCAAGAAAATGCCATCAGTCATCCTTTTTGAGCTGCAGGCTCTTTTGTTGCCCCACTGCACCAGCTCCCATGTCCGAGACCAAAATGCTTCACCTAAGAAATTTCATTTGCAGACCAACCTGCGATTGAGCACAGCTTGCATAGGACTGAGAACTGCACAGCCCGGGACCGTTCCTGCGTTCCTTCAGCTCCGCAGCACTCTAGAATTACTTGTTCGTAAATTGTTTTGTCACACAACTGAGGCAGCATGCCTCATTTCTTTGCGAACTATCTGCACAATCAACACTAAGTATCCCAAGAGCCTGAAGCTCAATGCAGCGCCTTGCGACCCTCTTTGAAAAGCACCCTAGACAATGCGTTGCAGACAGTGTAGGGCATCCTATTAACCAGCAAGGCTTCGCCCGGAAGCCGCGGATGGAGCTACAGAGAGAGCTCCATTTCAAGCGCTTGAACGATTTGAGATGTGACATGGTTTGACAAGCGCGCTTCTCTAGCATGAAATTCAATCAATCTAAAATTCAAAACCCGATGGAAGCTTCAAAAAACCGTTCACAACATGAAAATGATGTGTTAACCAACCTATATGCATCACATGAAACGAATAAAGGGGCAAACACATGACTTGGTTCCATCTCCAGCTTAGCTCAGAACCATCACAATGCGCGCTGCAAGGACCCCATGCACTCCACCTGCCAGACCAGGAGCGCAGCGGCAGTTTGCAGCATTGCACGCACGTCAAGCGGGAAAGGGACTCAATAACAAAGCCAAGCAAAGGGCTCTCCGAAGACGCAGTCTCTGTCCGGAACCTGCATGAATATCTTTGCTGCAGTAAGCTAGCTCAATTCACCACTCCAAGGTTCTGACGCATGGAGCACTTACTTCGCAGATGCGAGTTTCACTGCTGAGTCCGGCGGGGAAGGAACCTTACCATACATTCTGGCTAGCATTTAGCCTGGAATTTCATCTACCTTCCCTTTTCCCCTTCCAGGGGATGCTGCCACATTCGCTGGCAGTCTTCGCCACGTGTCGCCTCTTGCAGAGCTGTCATAATCGAGAAAGCAAACACGTGTGTTGCATGGGAGCGAGTCAACGTACCACACACAGAGGTTCGCACGTTCTGAAAGTCGTTCCTCTGTCACAGGATACCGAGCAGGGTGACCAGTCCTCACCGCTTGGCTGGTGCACAACATACAGACTGATTTGAAGGCCCAAGGAACTTCAGGGATCTTGGTGACCCTAGCCCTTCCCGCAGTCCAAAGCCAGATAATGAGACGATCCAAAGACACTGCAAATCTGTGCGACTTTGAATGCGCAAGCCCGTGGCATGGCAGGTTCTGTGCTGTCGAACTTTGCACACTTTTCATCTTCTGGCATCCAGTGTCGCATCACAAAGATTCACAAGAATAATGCCAACACTCGGAGAACTGTAAAACAACAGCTACATCGGTCCAAACGATGACTGACATCTCTGCATCAGGAACATATGCAAAATCATTGCAACCGTTTAGAAAGCAAATTGTAGACCGTTGTGCTTCCGAACCTGCATGCCCTGGAAAACTGAAGGGAAACATTTAAAAGAAACCAGCAACAGATCCAATCTGGAATATGAGACAACAATACACATTGAAACTGATATAGGAACAGTGCTACAGTCGCAAGCAAAAGACTCGTGTAGCCGTGGCATGGGTGCTACAATATGTTTCGCATTTTTTCACGGCGAACTCGCTGCAGCATTCAAGCCATCAAGGCTGCTTGTAGCTGAAACAAGCTCAGGTTCCCACTGACCAGTGACTCCACAATCCATCACTGCATTCCGCTGTGGTGCACCTGCTGCTTGATGATCTCTGCAGCCAGCTGCTTATATCAAATTGCAGAGGAAAGGACGTGTGGGTATTGCAGGGCTGGACTGTCTCTTTGATCTCAGCATCGCACTGCCTGCAGCCGGCTTTCTCACCAGCATTTAGCCTTCAATTGCAAAAAAAAACTGGAAAGGCGGCCTGCCATGCTTCGAAGGAACCTGAGCTATCCATGCAGCCTGCATGGTGAATTGAGCAAGCGTGCCTGAAAGGGACACGCATCTGAAATGAAGTATGAAGTATGCATGACTGCAAGTTCAGGCTCAAGATTACCGAAGAAGAGTCTCGAAGATTCAACCCAACCCCAACTTCCTCTGATCCTAGCTAAGTCATGCAAGCAATCTGGCCCTCTGAAGACAGGCGCCGGACCCTCAGGATCTGTCGCTTCCGAGAGCGAATCCCACCATCCTTCAGAAGACCAAGTGTTCATTCAACCTGCACACCAGCTCCCACTCACATGTATTACTGCTGGGAAACCCACGCAGGAGCGGGAACAGTAGCTCCATGCGGCCCACTCGCCCCAAACCTTGCATTTGAAGAGCAAAAGACTGACACTACTTGAAAAGTTTGGCAAAAAGCAGAGATTGTTCTGAGTTTCTCGGCACAGTCCCTCTCTTCGCACTCCACTTCGTTGGAACATGCCTTCAGGAAGTTTTTTCTCTGACAATGGAGAAAGCAAGATGTCAATGCAAAAACCGTGTACTCAAACCACACGTGCCACCTGAACCTCTCCTAGGGCTTCGTAGCAGCCGTGTCCGTCAATGCCACGAAGGCCCAGGATTTGTCTGCCTTGGAACTCAAACCAGCCAGGAAAGCAGCAGCAAACCGCGCGCTGCATTAGCAAAAAAAACTGGTGAAAACAGAGCTGACGACGACGTGTGCGCTGGCCGACCCCACAGGTCGTGGAGCAAAAGCCCCAAGACTCCCATTCTGCCCAGGGCTGCACATGTGACTGGTGCAATACTGATACATCGCAAGGCAGCAGGAAGCTTGTAACAGTTGGGAGATGCAAACCAACAGCAAGTGCTTGCACAGAGCTTTCTGTTACACAGTAGGAACAGCACATGTTAAAGCGCTGCAGCTACCAATCAACATCAACAAAAATAAGAGTGATGGATAGTCATAGAATAACCAGCAACTTTCTGCAAAACTTCAGGGCCTGAAACACGGCAGTCGTGTCCACTGCAAGATTGGCTGTTGCAGCCTGGCATTGGGAGATTCTGCGAAGGCACAATAAAGGCGCAGTAATGTCACAAGAGCCAGAAACCTCATTAGGCAAAGAGCCGCCCAAACAGCATAATCCTATCCATGAAGACTTTTATCCCATTCAATTTCGAGGGAGCCACAAAAAGGTCCAAACAGCCGCAGATCGCTATATAAGACACGCTTGCATGTACAAACACCAACATTGTGACTTGCGCCACATTCTTCTATCGCTTGCCAACGTGCTGCCACTTGTGGTGATGGCGATAGTGTGTCGGTCGTGTCGGTCTCACGCTTATTTTCAAAAGCTTTATCCAGGCGAGGACCTTCTTAGTAGGAAAGCCTTTGCTGTTGTGTGTTGATTCCTCGTGCAACGAGGATGAGACACGCTATTCTCACCGGTTTACTGGCGTGCCGCAAGATGGAACAAAATGTGTCAGCATCAGGAATCCAGGCTACATGCGTAGATGTCTGTACTAATTGGAGGCCAACACAGCGAGCAACAAAATGAGTGAGTGAGTGAGTGGGCGGGCTCGGGTGCACCCCCTGCCGCCATCTCAGCCTAACACGCTCGATCTAAGCTACAGGACTGCTGCACCTGGACCTGCACAAGCCCGCCCCACCGCGCTAGCATGATGGGTATTCAGAGGCCAACTTGGGTTGGAATTGGCCACTTGGCAGGACAGCTCCCCTCGCGCAACCTGAAGCTCTTCCCCCTGTGATCCCTCTGTCAGGCGCGACAAAACGCAGAGGAGAACACTAGCTGCCACAGAATCGCGGCAGAATCAGCTTGGTTTGAGACCGGTGGTTAGATGTGGTCTTGAACATGAAGAGCACACGCACAGGGCGAACAACCGCCACAACTGCCTGAGGTCTGTTTAAGTTCGTGGCAAAGAAGCATAAGCATAAACATGCCCTGCCAGCAGAAAACATGGCAAGCATCCCCGCAACGTGGAGTCTCTCTAAGTGCTAAGTTAACTTCAAGCTGAGAAACGGCAAGACCCTCAATCAAGAGCTATGTTAAGCTGGAGCTGCACACAAAGACCCTCAAAGTATGGGCTGAAGGAGGGTCCTTGAAATTGTTCGGGTTTGGCTACATCTTTTTGACCACCTGAGTCCACAAATAAGATTTCAGGCAAACGGGAGGAGATTCAAGGCATTGGGCTCCTTGAAGTTCGTGAAAGATCAAGACCAATGCAAACAAAGTGAGACATGCGAAGATCATGTAGCAACGCTTACGGAGGAAGAACGACAGCAAGATCCAAAGATACAGTACTGCTCCATCGCCCTGCATTCTGGAGCACTTGCAATGCAACAGCTGCAGTCTTGCTGGAGCACCCCTCTGCAATCCTGCCTCGTGTCTCAATCAGAATGCTCGGACCTGACACATCATATGAGATGCTGATGAAGCTGACTTGCAGTCAACAGACTTCATGATAAAACACAAAGCCGGAGCATTTTGAAACTTCTTTTTGTTGATCTTGCAGAATGCCAACGCAGGATTCATTGGCGCATGAGCAAAGTTCAAAGTTCAAATGCTACCACAGGCTGGGTCACTGGCAGTCAGCACCACCGCCTGACGGATAACGATGCACCTTACATGCCGTGAGCCAGAAGATGTGGTGGTGGAAAATTTCCAACATGGGGAACTCATAGCCTCGCGGTGGCGGTGCATCTGCCCACCATCGCATGATCTGTCACATGCATCCTGGCAAATGGCTCTTCACTCGCGGTCTGGACACAGCATGACATGGCCTCTAAAATCTACAGGTGTTCGAGGTTTGGCATGATCTTGTGGCATGATGTGGCGTGTAAGTTGTGAGGGTTCCGGTTCTAACTTGTTGAGCAAGTGCATCTCTGGGGCTTGGTGGGTACAATCAGGGCAGAGCTGAAGTTCATAGGCTTGGCATGTCCGTTCAAAGAGGTGATGGTGTTCATGCCGGAGTCTGTCAAAGCATGCACGGCTTAGTGCTGGGAATTGGGAGAGCTTGCTTGATGGTGGCTTGATGGTCAGGTCTTGGGATAGTGTGGTGTTATGTGGTTTTTGTTTGTCAACTGCATGCTCAAAACGAGTCTCAGGAAGTGTCCGGTAGGTCAAACATGAGGAAAAAAGGTTTGCCTTTACAAGGAAATTGCGAGTCAAGATGGGCGAGCCCGGCAGGGAAATCTGTGAAAACAAGCTGACCTGCGATGTCATAAAACGAAAGACAACCTTCCCATGTTAGCCAATAGCTTGGGAAACCAAACAAGAATGTCTATAAGCTGCACATCCAATCCACAAGGCAGCGCACCCATGCGGACCATGGGGAGACGTCGCAGTCCACTCTTTCGCTGTCGCACCTCATTTAGGATAACAAAGCTTCTCGCTGCGCAGACCAGATGTGTAGGGTTCGGATGGACTATGAATGGATGAACACAGCAACACGACATGCAGGAGCATTCGCAGCAGCAATTGCAGCAGCAGCAGCAGCAGCAGCAGCAGTGCAAACTTCCTTGCGTGGCACCCTGCAGGGCTCAGAGTTGCACGAAGCGGTTTCAAAGAGAGGTCCGGTACATGGCTCTCCAAATACCTCGGATGCAGTCCAAAGCACATTAGCAGTAAGAAAGCTGAACCTAGACCAGCTACTGAATCGTTCATACAAATGATACTGCCAGGCGGATTGACGAAAAGAAAGGACGTGGAGATCCTACCCATTGATGAAATGCGACGAGCACTGTCACCCCATGGACGCACCAAGAGCTGGTTGGATGAGGTGTTCATTGGACATCACAGCCACAAAGCAAAGATGTCCTTAGTTCCTCCTGGGGGGTCCTCTCCAGCAAACGAATTCAAAGATCAGGAATGCGACTCTGTACATTATCTGTCTCCCCAGCCAACCAAGCCCTTGTGTAAATTGTCCCCAAAACCACTCCGCCTACGCACTAAATCGCTGGCACGACATGGCGCAATGCAACGCCGCATAAGCACCACTGCTTAGGCTCAAGCAGAAGGCAGCCGTGCAATGGTTCGTTTGCGCGACATCTGCCCATCTACGCCACAATGGGACCACTGCGCCCAGGACCTAGCCACCGTATCATGAACAAGCTGTGGCGTGCCCATCGGACTTGCATGCGTCTCTGAGGCTCCCACGCCCATTGGCAATCCTCCTTCCCAGAGCTCCGGCATGACTCATCTGCCTCAGACCGCTCCCACAGCTAATGGCCTAAGCTAACCGCGACATTCTCAAACCTCTGGGGCAATGTCCCCTGGACAAGGCTCTATCTCCAAGAGAGGACCAGCCTTGGCAGCGTGCCACTTTTAGATTGACAACTGCTTTAAAGCCTGGCAGTCTGTAAAGTCTGCCATTCCTGCAACAGCTGAGGCTTGTTCGCATGGCTCGCCGCCATGCTTCGCATGTTGATCCACCTTCCGTGGCATTTGCGGGCATTCAACAATTTCACGTACAAATGTTTTGTGAACTATCTTATCATCCAAGGTGCCACGCGTTCTCGGGTGTGCCATCCGGTAACACATCCTTGTTGAGTGAAAAACTTAAACCCCGTCACAAAGCCAAGCAGAAAACAAGGACTTGACGGGTGCTGCAAGTCGACCAGCTATTCCAGGGTCCCAGTGTGCAGTCCCGCGGAATCTGAGGCACGTAGCAACGCTTTCTCCTTCAATGCTCTCTCACTCAGTGGGAACAGCCTTGGGGCATGCTTTCGTCTGCTTCATTTCGCCTGAGCAGGGCCTTGGTAGAACAAGAATGCCACCGCTGCCTGGAAAGTCACAGAGCTACTCCCTGGGTTCCCCAACGTGCCACCATTCATCGGCATCTTCACAATGTCTCTGCTTCGGTCCATTTGCAGACTGCAGCAAAATTCCAATCAGCTCCCATTTTCCAACACTGATGCATGTCAGCCAGCGGCGACTCACCTTACAACCCCGGCCATCGTCGACTCGCACCTAACGGCTTGTGAGGGACCGGTTATGGCTTGCAAACTGGAATGAAGGAAGTTCCGGGTGGGTGCACGCGCTGGGGGGAAAAATCTTGAATCTGTGGAGCGATTACTCTTGCCATGTTGAAAATATCAGCATTCAGCTGTCACCAAGTCTGTAAGAAAACCCTTGAGAGCCGCGGCTGTTGATTGCTAACCGTGCTAGGCAGACATAACGCATTTTCGGGACATGACAAGCGCTTTTCATGCCTAGGCCGGTATTCTGAATCGAAAGGTTGGGACAGGCTGCCCTGTTACATTTTCAGCTGTGTGTCTGCACGCTCGTCTTCAGAACACTTAAATGTGCCTTGGATTCTGTGCTGGAATGTGATTCTTCTGTCTGTACTGCTGCTCCTGTGTTTTGGGTGTTCCAACCTCAGTTGGTGGACATGAGCTCCCGCATGTCATGTGATCCCATGTGTATGGCGCACATGCAATGAGCATGTGCGAAGCAATGCGCTCTGCCAAGTAGATTTCGATTCGACATGCGAGACACCAAGCATTTCTGCCTGTGACTCACGCTTGAGGCATTGACTCTTTTTTCTGCATTTGATCTGAAGAAATGCTCAAATGGTCCGATCAAATGTTGTCTTTTTTACTGTTGGCACCCACATGTTAGTCTGCTGACGTCTGCTTGTTTGCCACTCCGTTCTAATTGATACTGAAAGCAAATGGCAACACTGGCTGGCACCAAAGGCGTAGGCTCGAAACAAGAGATGCCATGAAAGCTTTCAATATCTGAACTGCTGGATCTGAATTCTCAACCGCCCACAGCCTTGGTAACCTGGCTCCGCGACGTGAACAGAACCAAAGACCAGGCCAACGCCGAAACCAACGGTAGATTGACTGGGCAGGTTTTACCATGAACATGCAAAAGCAAATAGCACTGCTGTTTGATACCACAACTAAGCATCATGTTCTCAGTACCATGACCATTAGGAAACAAACAATGAGCACCACAGCAAAAGGGAGGCTTGATGCAAGGACCAGGCAGGATGCTGTTCGTACCATGACTCTGCAAGTGCAATGAGCTCTGAAAACGGAGAAAGATGCACTTGATGAAACCGCCAAGCATGATGTTAGCGGTACAATGACCATGCCAGTGGGAACTGCAGAAGCAGTGAGCCGATCTGTGCGCGCATCACCTCTCATGGCGAAGATAGGCATATCAGTTCCTTCTGCCCACCCCTCACACGCAGCCTAAGCCTATGGACCTTTCAATCCAACCTCCCCCCCCTTAAACCCTGTTTCCCTGCTAGCCCTTCAATTCCACCCGCAGTTTGATTCCACCCAGTCTCCTTGCCCCACCAATTCTGATACTAGTATTCATACGCTGTTATCCAGACCACGTCTGCCCTTCTGCGAAGTCAGACTGAACTTACGCCGAGCTCCGTTAGCTTTCACGAATTACCTGCCAATCAACTGGGTGCATGACCCTTCCCATGCAGACCACTCGCCAAACTGGCAATCCTGGACAGGTTGACAGACAACTCCATACATCAGCAACTTAAGGCACAAACATGGTTGCAGGCCTGCTCCTTTTGGCAGACCACGGGACAAGTCTTAGTTTCAAGCGTAGGTCCTTCGCTGCCAACATAATACTGCATCACAGGTTACATTGTGCCTTCACTACCCACACCTTGACATCCTGTACCACAGTTGTTGTTGTGCTGGCTGATGACACGATGCCGTTCACACAAGCCTTGCCAGAAGGCAAATCTGATTGAAAGCAGCGTGTTGATATCATCAAGAAGAGGGCCAGGCCCAAGCATGTCGGGTCATGCCAGTCGCTCCAAGCTGCGAAGACGCAGTTTTCTGGAACGCACCTTGCCAAGAACACTGCACAAGATGACATCCAAACTTGCAAAATCTTGAAGGCTTCAATTGCCGATCTATGCAGCGTGTGTCCTTTGCAAGCTGTGGGCGAGGCTTCTGACACTTTTCTGTCGTTGGACAAGCACTGACATTGAGCTGAGTCCCAGCCTCAGCACATCAAGGCTGAGCAAAAGGATTGCTAATTCCCTAGGTTGCGCTCTGAACATGTGCGCATATTGCTGACATTTACACAAGCAGCAAGAAGGTCATTCCACTCAGGCACAGGCGCAGGACGCCTCATCCGATGCCATGAAGAGGAAATCGTTAGAGTAGCCAGTCAAGCCCAAGGCCTCACATCTTCAAAAATCCAGACTACTGGCAGGCTGAGACGGCTAAGATTCCCACCCGATTGCGGGTCATGCTGGTCGTCCCGCACTTATCACAAGACTCTGACCTTAGGTGAAATGTACTGCATTGATGATGACATCCTTTTTGATCTCTCTGTCTCGGCCGGGTGGCGTTGACCAGTATGTCCAAGCACAATACAGAGGATTTTCCTGGGGGCCCAGGAAACTTCTCCTTTGAGGCAGGATGACCACTGCATTGCTTCAGCCGAAGTGCGCATTTGCTATGACATACTCCGGCTTCTTTGGCATCCTTCGGCTCACATGGCCTGCCGACGCTGCATGTCGTTGCAATTAACATCTCGCATGTGTCACAACGCAGTTGTACTGACAAACAGCACTCAGGCCTTCCGCAATGATTTGGCATCTGCTGGATGTTGCGAAATCGAAACCTGCATGGAACACTTGAACATACTTCACCTGCAAAGATGCGGGCTGCCCTTGGTCTGTTCGCGGCCTCTGACCACCGCATTTGGAGCAACTTCCCCAGTGACTCCACGCCTGAGACAGGCTTTGGCTACTGTTGCTCTGTTCGTTGGTCAAAAACTGCATAAATTAAAGGACCGGAGAACTCCACATGTGCAGTTTAACCTGAATCGGAATGAAATGAAATTAGGATGCTGTCGCCCGCCGAAATAAAGGAGAACAAGAAAACGAGACGAAAACCGGGGAATGATTCGCTGAAAAATCTTGGGGGGCACCCCTTGAGATTTGAGATTTGGGGACTTGATTCGCTGAATAATCTTGGGGGGACCTCCTTGCGATTTGAGATTTGGGGACCTGAATCTCTCAAAAATCTTAGGAGACACCCCTTGCGGTTTGAGATTTGGAGAGATGATTCTCTTAAAAATCTTATGGGGACACCCCTTGCGATTTGCGATTTGGGGACTTGGTCCTCTTAAAAATCTTAGGGAAACACCCCTTGCGGTTTCAGATTTGGGGACTTGATTCTCTTAAAAATCTTAGGGGAGCACCCCTTGCGATTTCAGATTTGGGGACTTGATTCTGTGAAAAATCTTGGCGGGGCAACCCTTGCGAATTTGGTGACTTGATGCTGTGAAAACTCTTAGGGGGACACCCCTTGCGATTTGAGATTTAGGGACTTGATTCCTGGAAAAATCCTTGGGGGGACACCCCTGGCAATTTCAGAACTTGATTTTCCGGAAAAACTCTAGGGAGATAACCCTTGCGATGTGCGATTTGGAGACTTTACTTTCTGAACAAGCACCTTAGGGAGACAACGCTTGCGATTTGAAATTTGGGATAAGTACATAATACATAATCATACATACAAACATAGATACACACACATACACACGTACATACACACACATACACATACACATACACATACACATACACATACACATACACATACACATACATTCATACA